TCCAATAACAATTGACTTCGCCTTCTATATGACTTGCAGAGCCTGCCTGGCCAGACGGGTTCAGTCCGATCGCTGACTTTTGATTCAGCAGAGGTCTTAGTGCTTGCAGCATCTTCTAATGGTACAATCAAGCTCTGGGATCTCGAAGAGGCAAAGCGTGAGTCTATTAACTATATTTACTTAAAATTAAATATATAAATGACTTACTCTTTTAATGCAGTCATGATATACTGGTACTAAACTGGATAAGTTTCTGTGGTCTCTGATGTTTTTAAATGCTGTAGCTGACTCTTTAGAAATATCTATTTCAGTCCATCTTGTATCAACTGGAAGTTCTATATTATAGACTGTCTAGGTGGATCTAGAAAATCAATGACGAGAACAAAGTGTTATCCAATATTTTGTGGGTGGGCTATATGAACTTTTTTCCTTCCATTCGTTGCTGTCAAGGGCCATCTTTTCCTGTATAAACTTACAATTTTTTAATCCATTATTAAAAAATTCCAATTTTTTGAATATATATTTGCTATGATAAGAATATAATGAATCACCAAATCCAAAATTACGCCTCTCATTTCATTATTTAGTCTATACCAACAAGTAACGACCTTAATTGACCCTTTTCTCTCCCATTTTTCTGGAAATGTCTATTTGGTGTTCTCTTGTAAATAGTTCTTCTCCTTTCAAAGTTCCCTCCACTAATCCATCCAAGTGCCCTAAAAAATCTTTTTAATTTGTCATCGACAAACATTCTTATCCCATTCATTCCGCCCTTTTCTTTCATAGTGAACTTTATATCAATATTCTTTGCAATCTACCTATATCTCTTACCTAAACATTTAGTTTTCTGCAAAGGCAATCTTTCTCCTAATCTTTATGTAGATCAATTCACCAATTCAGTATGTATACCATTCAGTTATCTTTCATGTAAGTCCTGTTAGATCTTGGATGCAAGGTCCTAACAAGTCCACTTATACTTGAAGGAGCTACCATAACCTTATCATGCATAAGCCTCTAGATCCTTTCTCTCCTATGTCCCTTTAGGCTATGTCTGTTTAGCATCATATTGGAGTACCAATCTGACACCTGCAGAGATCTAAAGAATGTTTGCTCACTTGCTAGATCACCAAGATGGGTCAATGCAGAATGCTGCCTTGAGGGAGTGCCCTATCAAACTTCCCTTGCCAACTTGATACGGGAAAATGGGAATATAAAGCAAACAAGATTCTTCGTATGATTTGGCATCGTGCCGCCATCTCTAAATCAAAGGTTACATTAGCTTTACAAAGGAACCGTTGTTGGACCTCTCTAGTCTCATGGCTTACCCTAATTTTAGCCTACACCTACTTTAACATTGTTTTGAGACCTCTACTTTCTTCTGGCCACACAAATGTTTATGATCATCCCAACTTGATTAAAAAAATACAGACCATAAGCCTTGTACAGTCCATCATTTAGGAGCAATCAATTCCTGAGTATGAGAACAACACAAGACATAATCTGCAGGCGCTATTAGCTACCATATTACTTGAAGAATAAAGAAGGAATTGAATAATTCATTTCACTATATTTCATCGTTTACATGAAGGGCTATATATAGAAGTATGTCAGCCCACTAAGATAGGAACTAACAACTAATTCAGTAACAAACTAAACAAACAGTAACAAATTAAACAAACTACAAATATCTACAAATATCTAATATGTTCCCTGATTTTCTTCTAACAAACGTAATCTTCTTTTCAACACTCCCCCTCAAGCTGGTTGGAAGATGTCTTCCATGGCCAGCTTGCTCGTCAGCTTGTCGAACAGCTTTTTTGGTAGTCCTTTTGTTAGAATGTCTGCAACCTGCTCATCTGTTGGAACATAGATCATACATATCTGTCCTCCTTCGATTTTTTCCTTGATGAAATGCTTATCCACTTCGACATGCTTTGTCTGATCATGAAGAACTGGATTGTGAGCTATTGAGATCGCTGCCTTGTTATCACAGTAGGTTTTTATCGGAGTTTGACTTTCTATCTTTAGTTCATCGAGAATCCTTTTTATCCATAGCACCTCACATATTCCATGAGCAACCGATCTGAACTCAGCTTCCGCACTACTTCTTGCCACCACACTCTGCTTCTTGCTGCGCCATGTAACCAGATTTCCTCCAACAAATGTGCAATATCCCGATGTCGAACGTCTATCAGTCAAGCTCCCTGCCCAATCAACATCCGTATATACTTCAATCTGCAGATGATTTCGTTTCTCAAACATTAGTCCTCTTCCCGGTGTTCCTTTTAGGTACTTTAGTATTCGGTAAGCAGTCTCAAAGTGTTCAGGTCCTGGTGAGTGCATAAACTGACTTACTACACTCACTGCGAAGGCTATGTCGGGACGTGTATGTGATAGGTAAATTAACCTTCCTACCAGCCGTTGAAATTGTTCTCTGTTTTTCACTTCTTCAGGTTTCGCTGGCTGAAGCTTCACATTATGTTCGATTGGTGTTTCAGCAGCCTTACAACCGAGTAGTCCTGTTTCTGACAGCAAGTCCATCACATATTTCCGCTGAGATACAAAAATTCCCTTCTTAGATCGAGCAAACTCCATTCCGAGGAAGAACTTTAGAGGTCCTAAGTCCTTGATCTCAAATTCTTTAGCAAGAGACCTTTTGAATCTTTCCTGCTCAACATGATCATCACCAGTTAGTATAATATCATCTACGTAAACAATTAAGATTGATATCTTTCCTTCCTTTGAGTGCTTGTAGAACAATGTATGATCTGATTGACTTTGAGTGTACCCGTAACCTTTGACAGTTTTTCCAAATCGTTCAAACCATGCTCGTGGCGATTGTTTTAGACCGTAAAGCGACTTCCGAAGCCTACAGACTTTCTTGCACCCTAGTTGTTCTTCAAATCCCGGGGGTAGACTCATAAACACCTCCTCTTCTAGGTCTCCGTTTAGAAATGCATTTTTCACATCTAATTGGTGTAGAGGCCAATCAAAGTTTGCAGCTAGGGATAATAGAATACGAATGGAATTGATTTTTGCAACCGGTGCGAAGGTCTCTTGGTAGTCAATCCCTTGAGTTTGTGTGTATCCTTTGGCCACTAAGCGTGCTTTATACCTTTCAACACTCCCATCAGCTCTACACTTCACAGTAAATACCCACTTGCAGCCTACGGTTTTTTTCTCCCTTGGTAAATCTACTAAATCCCAAGTCCCATTCTTCCTTAGAGCATTCATCTCTTCTATAACTGCTGATTTCCAATCTGGATTGGTTAGTGCTTCTTGGATAGTGGTTGGAATGAATAGGTTGGAGATCTTTGTGGTATACGCTTTGTGATTTTTTGACAATCTATGGTATGACACGTACTTAGCAATAGGATGATTGGTACAGCTACAGACACCTTTCCTAAGAGCTATAGGTACTTCAAGATCTGGTATAGATGGAGTAATTTCTGGTGGTAAAGATGGATTTAGCTCGGGAGAGAAAAAGTTAGACTTACTTGAGTCATGGAGTGATCCATCTGACAGAGATGAGGGTCGGCCTAGTGTTGAAGATGTTGGAAGACCACTATTTCTTTGAGTCCCTCTTCTGGTGTACACAAGAAGCTCAGGCTGAGTGTTTTTCTCCTGTATTTCCCCCTGAACAAGTATTTTTTAAGCTCGGCTGAAGTGAGTCATCGACTAGGTTTTTGGTGTTTTTTGAACTTGGTTGAATTAGAGGATTCTGGTCATTTTCAAGAGACAGAGAAGGTATAGGCAATGGAGGTATAGGTAATGGATCAATTTCCCAAAACTGGGTTTCACTCTCAATCTCCCCCTGAAGGCAGTTTTGGCGGAAGTAAGCTTGATTCTCTATGAGACATCCATGCTCACGAAGAATTTTTTGGACCGAGGGTTATAGCATTTATATCCTCTTTTATTTGGAGCATATCCTAAAAAAATACATTTTTCAGCTCTAGGATCGAGTTTGGATCGAAGTCTGCTAGGTAGATGAACATATACAATGCAACCAAATATTCGCAGAGGAAGGTCCGAAGCTAGTCTATAGTTTGGGAATATTTTTCTTAGACTCTCAAATGGTGTAGTGTATTTTAATACACGAGTTGGCATTCTATTAATCAGATACGAGGCTGTCAAGATTGCGTCTCCCCACAAATATTTTGGTACATGCATGGAAAACATGATGGCTCTAGCAACTTCAAGGAGATGGCGATTTTTTCTTTCTGCTATGCCATTTTGCTGAGGGGTATCACTACATGTGGAATGATGTTGAATTCCTTTTTCTTGAAGAAAGGTTCCTAACATTTCATTAAAATATTCTGTTCCATTGTCAGAATGAAGAATTTGTATTTGTGTTTGAAATTGGTTTTCAATCATGTAAAAGAAATTCTTGAATATTTTTTTCACTTCAGATTTTTCGCTCATCAGATATACCCAACACAACCTAGTATGATCATCTATGAAGGTTACAAACCACTTTTTTCCGGATAAAGTTGACACCCTTGATGGTCCCCAAACGTCACTATGAACAAGATGAAAAGGTTTTGATGCACAATATGGTTTGACTTTATATGTAGTACGATGACTTTTTGATAAATGACAACTTTCACATTCAAATGAAGAACAATCGATGTTTTTAAACAATGATGGAAACAAATACTTCAAATAGGGAAAACTCGGGTGTCCTAATCTAAGATGCCAGAGCATTATTTTTTCATGAACAGAAAGAGAACTCATACTGGAACTGAGTCCTTGAGCTTGTTTATTGCCGAATTGGTCATCATCAAAGAAATAGAGACCATCCACCATCTTAGCACTGCCAATCATCGTCCCCGTAGTCTGGTCCTGAAATTCACAATGAGAATCAAAGAATATGACACGACAGTTAGAATCTCTAGAACGAGAGAGCACAAGGGTTCCTACCTGTTTGAGCCAAGGAACTACTAGGAATACCAGATTCGGAATTGGATTTCAGCAGCTTTAGAAGGAGATTCATCTGTTGTTTGTTGAAAGGACTGGTGTTGGAGTTTGCTTCATTTGCGGCTGCTGTTGGACGCTGAAACTTCTTTCCAGGCTTGCCACTCTTCCAATTTGCTGGTTTTCCATGGATCTTCCAACACGTCTCGCGAGTATGTCGGGGTTTGTTGCAGAAATCGCACCAAATTCTCGGTTTTTCATCTCCACGTCGCTGAGAATTTTGATTTCTGCTCACATTGGCCTCGGCAGTAAGTAGGGCAGAATTTTCCATCGGTGCTACTGCTTCCTTCTTTCCCAGCATAACATTGCGACGACTCTGTTCTCGCCTTACTTCAGCAAATACTTCCTCGAGTGAAGGAAATGACCCACGCCCAATAATTCTACCTCGCACTTCGTCGAGTTTTACCTTCAAACCTACAAGGAATTTAAAGATCCGATCATTCTCCACCATCTTTCGATGGTGCTTGTAGTCGTCTGGCGATTTCCACTCATAGTTGTTGAACATGTCGAGATCCTGCCAAAGTCTCTTGAGCATGTGAAAATACTTGGTGACAGTGTCGTCTTTCTGCCGGATCTCTCCAAGTTGGAGCTGCAGCTCATACACTTGCGATTGATTACCTAGATCAGAGTACATCTGATGAATGCTGTCCCAAAGCTCCCACGCAGTCGGGTAGTTCATGTAGTTAGAGGCGATGTCTTCATTCATGGAGTTGACAAGCCACGCCATCACCATTGAATTTTCTGCATCCCAGGTCGCATACGTCGCCTCTTCAATTGCGGGAGCCTTCTTGTCTCTAGTCAGGTAGCCGATCTTGCCTCTTCCTCGAATCGCCATTCGTATGGACATCGACCACCGTAAGAAATTATCGCCATTAAGGCGAATACTGGTGATCTGGAAGGACTGAGATTCATGACCAGAGGGTCGGTTTTCTTGTGAGGGAGGATTTGTGGTTTCTGAAGATATATCTGACATGGTTATAGGTGAGGATAAGGAGGGGTTGCTGGAATAAGTCCAGAAAAAAAATTTCTAATGAGCGGAACAATATTCCTGCTCTGATACCAACTTGAAGAATAAAGAAGGAATTGAATAATTCATTTCACTATATTTCATCGTTTACATGAAGGGCTATATATAGAAGTATGTCAGCCCACTAAGATAGGAACTAACAACTAATTCAGTAACAAACTAAACAAACAGTAACAAATTAAACAAACTACAAATATCTACAAATATCTAATCTGTTCCCTGATTTTCTTCTAACAAACGTAATCTTCTTTTCAACAATATTACTATTGGTAATGAAATGAGAATGAAGCATGCGCTATAAGTATCTAACTCCTATATTGTTGTTCTTGAAGTGTAGTCATCCGGTCAATCACAGGGCACAAATCCAATTGCTCAGCTGTTGAATTCCATCCATTTGGTGAATTCTTTGCATCTGGCTCTTCTGATACTGATCTTAAGATCTGGGATATTAGAAAGAAGGGATGTATTCATACTTACAAGGGGCACACACGGGGCATCAGAACAATTAGATTTACCCCAGATGGGCGATGGGTAGTTACTGGTGGAGATGATCATGTGGTGAAGGTAGAATTAGGTTGCACTACTTGTGCATTGCTATTTTTTCTTTAACTGAAAAGTGTACTAAAGCTAATCTGAAGCTATTTCACATTGTCTGGACAGTTATGGGATTTGACAGCTGGGAAGCTCCTGCATGACTTTAAGTTCCATAATGGAACAATCCGGTGCATGGATTTTCATCCACAAGAGTTTCTTCTTGCAACAGGTATATTCCTAAGCTATGAGGATCAGAATACCCATCTTAGTCTCTATCTCAGGAACTTATATCATTTATCTAGCTTCTAGCTATTTGTCTACAGGATGTTCAAATGTTAACTTAATGCTTCTAATGTTATTCTACAAGTTATTGGTATTTTCTTGCTCTGGAACTGGTGCATAATTATTTCCATGTTTGCATTATGTGCAAATAAGGAAAACATGCAGTGGTAACCATCCATTTTCAGCAAATTCTTAGAATCTCTGGTTTCAATTAATTATCTCATTACTGTGTTTGTCTTGTGCTATAGAGTAATATGGTAGCTTGCAAGTGTTTACTTTTTGTCGTAAATATTCTCATCTGCACAATAAAATGGTCAAGCATTTTCTATGCCACTTGCAGCATTGTGTGTTCTGACAAGTTGCTTTGTTAATACATTCAGGGTCAGCAGATCGAACTGTAAATTTCTGGGACTTGGAAACATTTGAACTTATTGGTTCAGCTGGACCTGAGGTATGCAAAACTTCATGTCATCTTTAGAAGAACATATTGTCAATTGCATGTCAAGATTTTTGTACTTACTATTTTGTAATGTGTCCAAATTTAGTTGCGCATAAGAAAGAGAACTAGAAAGTGGGCTTTTATACGAGACTAGATCCAATATCTACTATATGACAGTGTTGTGTTTGTAGTTTAAATTCATTATCATGATGCTAAATGATTTGTTCGAAACTTAAGCCTGCTTAAGTCTACAAATGACATGTAGCAAAACCCTATCCGAAGGTTGTAGTGATACAGGATGTCACCAAAGGTCTGATAACTGACAATGATGGCATAGATGGAGTTAGCTTAGGGACGCTAAACGAAATCAAAGACAGTTTGTCTCATTACGTTTTTTGGCACAGTAGTAAGATCCTATAACTGTGCACAAAGGGGCAGCATAGTCTTACAACTTGAAACTGAACAGTGGACTACTATGCTGTAAATGTTGGAGCATAAGCGCTTTTTAATCAGTAACATTTCTCTCCATTAAGTAGTGAACCTGTCAATAACAATAATAGCAGCAAGAAAAGTGAGAACAAACAGTAACAGTCATACTCAGCATGCCATTAGAAGCGAAAGATTGAGAGTTTAATCTGTAGCTTAAGCTTTGTAACCAATAATACAACCCCATCTGCCAACTACTCAAGAGAAGAAAGAAGAATCTCCAAGGAAATTAATACAGAAAATTGGTTTTCTTTTTGAATATATTAATATGGAAAACTTCACCAAATATTCAGGTCAAATGGTTGCTCAATGTTGTCAAACCAACTATTCTCGAGTCGGGGGGCTTGAAGGCCACACCAATTTTCCATGTACACTAAATAACAGTATTCAAACATAAATCAAATATTTTAGATCCAAGCTCTTAGAAAAAGCATAATATCTATTGGCATTGCATTTGAGTTTCTAAGAAAGAAACGCGTCTACAAAAGATTAATTATTTATGTTTTAATTCTCAAAACAAAATGTTCATAGCAAATGAAACTTGCCTGCATATCTGTCTCTGTGCAAAGTGCATTGGTAGCAAGAGCTGCAGCTACTGTCTGCTCTTGTTATGGTATTGCTGCCTTTTCGCCAAGTTATTGAACCTATAGGTGTTAGTGATGGTGATGTTGTATCCCACTTTTGGTTGGTTAGCAACAATAAATACTGTGCTGAATAGAGAAATGGATATAATATGTGATCCTTGTCCTTGTATCTTTTCATAGATGTCTTCATGATACATATTAGACACAGATCCTTGCATACCTAGTGTGTATATTTGGGAGAGGCTTTGGGTAAAATATTTTAGATCCTGTTTTCCATTGGTTTCAATATTGCGGACCCGGTTTTTATATTCCACTGCATTCAAGTTGATTGCATCATCTAAAGTAACTATAAATTTAAAAATAAAAGCATAAATTCCATCATCTATGCATCTAGCAAATGCAATGGATGGTTGGAATTGTTCTATTTAGATAGATCTATAGTTTCATGCATAAATAATACTAGTGTGAACACCGTGTAAAGCACTGAATGTTTTTTTCATGCTACAGTAATCCTAGGCTTAACTGCTACAGTATTTTTTTGGGTTTTCGAATTGTTGCGCTACAGTATCCCCGCGTGCTACAATAATTTTTTTTTCATACAGCGTGTCTAGTCTCATGTTTACTACAGTAATAATGCTACAATAAATGTCATTTAATGTAGCATTACTGTAGCGTGAATAGTGAATCTTGTGTTCTCCCATTTGTATAGAGGAATAGATTCTACACTTTTATACTAACCAAGTCCCATTTAAGCTGCTCATTTGCCCTTTGATGGTGAATCTTTTCATATGAACATCGACTTGAATGGGGAAGTTTGACTTGATCCTTATGGAAGTGGCAAAAGTCTATCTCCCTCTTTATTTATCCACTAAGTAAGCCAGATATTCCAACTCTTTCTGCATAATTTTAGGATCTTGAGGGTATGAGTTTAATATAGATAGAGGGAGCTACAAAATTGAATACTGCATTTTATATTCTTCTGTGCTCGTGTTTGATACGGGTGTATCTTCTCTTCGAAACTTAGCGATCCTCATGAGAGCTTGAGGATAGATGATTCTCATGGTAGTTTGAGAATAGAGGTGTAAAACAGCACAGTGGAACACAGGTTGAAGCGTGAAACGAGACGGCGAATCGAAGAATCAAATCATCCAGTTTTCAGCCCGTGAGTCGACTCATAACAGTCATGAGTAGACGCATCAGGTTGAGTCGACTCATGTCTGTCATAAGTCGACTCATAAAACTCAACCGTTTTGTCAAAAGTATCTGACGAGTCGACTCATCACTGTATGAGTCTACCCATGTGCCATGAGTCGACTCATGACTGTCATGAGTCGGCTTCGTACCCATGTGTCATGAGTCGACTTATGACTGTCATGAGTCAACTCACGAAGCCTAACAGATGTTGACATAGTTTCTGACCAGTCGACTCATGATGTCATGAGTCGACCCATATGACATGAGTCGACTCATATATGCACGTGAGTCGACTCATCGATGGTTTTCTTGTTCGTTTGAGTTTCTGTCTGCATGAATTTCTGTGGGGTTTGAGCTTGGTTATTTACGACTTTGCCATCCACGTTGTTCCACATATAAAAGGGATTGTTTTAGGGTTTTAAAACAATCAAGAGAGATTAGATTGTATTGGGAGAATTGAGAGAGACTGTTCTTTAATTCTAGTAAGATTGTGAGAGATTGTAAGTTATTTTATTCTCATAATCTAGAGAAGGTATTTTCCTTCGTCACCACTGAATTATTATTGTGTTCTTGTTATTTTCTTCTTAACCCACCTTTGATAATTACGCGATTAAAGGTGCTTGCACGACAACTCGTATCAAATTGGTATCAGAGCGATCAGATCCTGTGGAAGGGGCATCCTGTGTATGATCCTGACTCGATCGTAATACAAGAAGCTAGGCGAGATTCTTATTTCATTGGAAGGAGTTCAGAAATTAAGAAAGAAGAATATGACTGAAGGAGATAGTTCAGTAAGGCTAGATGCATTGGAGAAGCAGATGGAGACAATGGGTTCGACCCTCGTGCAACTCGTTAATCTTGTCCAAGATAAAAAAAAACAAGAAGGAATCTTTTTCGAAAGGCAAAAAGAAACTTATGGAGTCTGATAGAGAAGGTGAGGATTCTGATTCAGATGAGAAGGCCTGTATTGTTAAGTCTGTTTCACATCAAGGCGGTAAGGGTTCTTACCAAAATTTGAAGATAGACTTCAAAGTGGAGATTCTTGTGTATGACGGGAGTGTCAACGTCCAGAGGCTTGATGATTTGATCGAGCGGATGGAGACCTATTTCACACTCTACGGATATTCATCCAAGGAGAAGCTCGTGTTCGCGACATTGAAGCTTTCGGGGCATGCATTGACATGGTAAAAATCCTATTACAAGCAGGAGAAGAAGACAGTGTCGTGAAACAAGTTCAAGAAATTACTTAGGAAGCAATTCTATCCGGTAGGGTTCCTCAAAGAACGTTGGTACAAATGGTACGAGTTGTGCCAACGGTTCAACCAGATCGTTCAAGAGTATATGACGGAGTTCCAGCAGCAGACGATGATCCTCAACATCGCAACAGAGAAATATCCTATTTTTATGAAGTATATGACGGGTCTAAACGAATATATCCGGAAGGAGATGAGGTTTTTCATAGTTGAGTTCATTGCAGATGCGAGTGTGAAGGCCATTGCCATTGAGGGTAGGTAAAAAAAGGGCAACGAAACGAAGGAAGACTCCAAACAGACGGGAGACAAGTCGAGTGGCTCTCAGCCTAAGGAAGAGAAGAAGAAGGATGATTCGGGAAAAATAGGATTGACATGTAATCACTGTAAACAGACAGAACACGTAGCTGATCGTTGTTGGGAGAAGTATCCTCATCTGAAGCCAAAAAGATTGAAGAAAAAGAAGGAGAAGAAGGCATATGTAGTAGCTCAGGGTCCGAAGAAAGTTCCCGGGATGACAATACCCAATAGCAGTCTCAACCTTATGGAGGGAAAGCAGAACACGACGGAGGACGAAGACCTGAGGGAGCAGCTCTTTGTTTTGAAATTACAGATCAAGATCAGTTTAGTTGATGCCATAGTGGATCCAGAGAGCTAGAAGAATTTGATATCTAAGGCATTGATACAGAAGCTGAGATTAAAGACGGTTAAACATCCGAAACCCTATCCTTTAGGGTGGATTCAGAAGGAGACGGGATTGAGTGTGATCAACCAATATACTTTTAGATTTGCACTCCACGAGTCGTATATCGACGAGGTCACATGCGACGTCGTTCCGTTGGATGTTTGCCAAGTGATACTGGGCAATCCTTATTTATAGGATAGATATACGGTCTATGATAGATGGGCCCAGAAGTATACATTTACCAAAGATGGCGAACAATTCATTTTTCGTTCGGCGTCTCTTCCTCAGGAGACGAGTTTGGTGACGGTGACTCGGGCGAAGAGGTTGGTGAATACAAGCAAGAAGTTTGTATTATTATTCATTAGGCCTTATGAGGAGAAGCTGAGTAGGATGTGCTTGACTACCCTGAGCAAACTTTAGGAAGGAGATCTTGACAGGTTGAAGGCCAAGTACGAGGACTTGTTTTCGGAGATCACGATATTACCACCACGGCGAGGTATGGAGCATGAGATTATGTTGACCGACGAGAGTTCCTTGTCGAATATAGGTCTATACTGAACATCTGTAGAGGAGTCTAAGGAGATCAAGAGACAAGTTCAGGAGCTTTTGGAGACAGGAGTAATGGCGCCGAGTTGTTCGCCTTACGAGTCTCTAGTATTATTGGTGCCCAAAAAGGATGGAGGTTGGTGCATGTGCGTGGATTACCGGGCACTCAATAAGATAACCATTAAGAATCGTTACCCATTACCACGGATTGACGATCTCATGGATCAGTTGGAGGGAGTACGGTTCTTCACGAAGTTAGATTTGAACTCTGGCTACCATCAGGTGAAGATTCGGGAGGATGACACTTGGAAGATTGCGTTCAAGACCAAGCAGAGCCTATTCGAGTGGTTGGTGATGCTGTTTGGTTTGTGCAACACTCCGGCTATCTTTATGAGGCTTATGAATGATTTGTTGCGACCCTTTATAGAAGACTTTGTGATAGTTTACCTTGATGACATCTTGGTGTACAGCAGGACTTGGGAGGAGCATCTTGTTCATGTTGAGAAAGTGTTTGAAGTGCTGCAGAATGGACAACTGAAACTTAATGGGAAGAAATGCGAGTTTGGGAAGGATGAGTTGGTGTATCTCGGCTTCATCGTGGGGAATGGCTAACGAAGGATAGATCCAAGTAAGGTGACGGTGATCACAAAGTGACCGACACCTAGGACAGTGACGGAGGTGAGAAGCTTCATAGGGGCTTGCCAGTACTTGCGCAAGTTCATTCGATATTTTTCGATTTATGCGACACCTTTGCATGGCCTTACGAAGGCGAATGTTTAGTTCGTGTGGGGTAGGGCGCATAAGGAAGCTTTTCAGCTACTGAAGAAGATCTCGGAGGCACCAGTGTTAGTTTTGTCGAATTTGCAGATGACCTTCGAGGTGGAGACCGACGCTTCTAGTTATGCTATGGGCGTTGTGTTGATTCTGGATGGTAAGCCAGTGGAGTATCATTCAGAGATATTTACGAGTGCTATTCAAAACTACCCCACCTACGATAAGGAGTTTTATGTATTTTATCAAGCGATCAAACATTAGAGGGTGTATTTATTGGGTAAGGAGGTGGTTGTGCATTCATATCACAAACCATTGAAATTTCTACATGCCCAGACGAAGCTGCAGCAGGCTCAACACATGATGTGGATTTCCTATTTGATGGCGTTCAATATTATTATTAGGTACAAGAAGGGGACAACGAACAAGTTAGCCGATATGTTATCTCGTCCACCAGTGAGGGCACTTTCGGTGGCGATACGTATTTAGTTCTTGGTTCCTTAGCAGTATGTGCAGATATACACATCGATTTCAGTAGTGTGTTTGAGCGGGCGACGGCTGGTCGAAAGGGGGAGTATAAGATTGGTGAGGATGGTTTGGTGTATCGTGGGACGTCGCTTTGTATTCCGGAGGACGGCGACCGATTACAGTGGATTCGGGAAGCACATACATCACGTGTGCAAGGTCATTTTCGGATTCAGAAGACGCTTCTCAATCTACGGCGCCATGTCTTTTGGCCAAAGATGTTGGAGGATGTCACTAAGTATGTTGGAAGGTGTAAGCTATGTTGTATTTCGAAACCTTCCAATAGGAAACGAGGATTGTATCTACCATTGTCGGTACCTTTGAGACCGTGTGAGAGTATTTCTATGGATTTCTTAGGATGATTGCCAACGACCAAGCGAGGACATGGTTATTTGTTCGTTGTGATGGACTGGTTCAGCAAGATGGTGATCTTGATTCCTTGTAAGAAGACCGTGACGGGAGCGGGTGCAGCGCAATTGTTCTTTGAGCATGTGTGAAAGCACTTTGGGTTGCCGAATTCGATTATTTCAGATCGAGATAGCCGGTTTCTTGGATATTTTTAGGATTCTTTGTGGAGCTTGATGGACATTAGGTTGAAGAAGATCACGACATTCCATCCACAAACAAACGAACAAACAGAAGTGATTAATCGGACTATGGTGCACATGTTGAGAGGATATAATTCTTGGCATCCCAATACTTGGGATGAGAGTTTATCATATCTTCAGTTTGCGTTTAATCGGGTTATTCATGGATCTTCGGGGAAATTACCGTTTGAGACTTGTTATGGGTTTTTACCTCCGAGTCTGTTTGATCTCATGTTTTCAAGTGAAGCTACGGCCGACGGCAAGGAAGGGAGTGAAAGGCAACGAGCTCAGCGATTTTTGGAGAAGATTGCACATATTCATGCCACGGTGGAAGCACAATTGAAGAAATCACAAGCCAAGTACAAGGTGAAGCATGATCAACATCGGGTTCCTTGTAACTTTGGCATAGGCGACATGATATGACTGAAATTAAGTAAGGAGAAGCTAAAGGGAGAAGGGAAGAAGTTAAAACTTATACGTTATGGTCCGTTTCGGATTCTCGATCAGATTGGTGACAACGCCTTCAGGCTGGATTTGTCACCTTACTTAGGCATGTATTCAGTGATCAATGCCGAATATTTAAGTTGTTTGAGCCTCCATTGCTGGATGATGAAGGTGACGACAAGGTGATCTTATCGCATGTTGAAGACTTGTGGTTTGATAGAGAAGAGCCGCTGAAAGAAGATTGTATTTTGGAACAGAAGACGATCACGACGAGGCGGGGGACGAAGGAGTCGTTTCTCATTGGACGTCAATGTCAGGTTCCTAGCAAGGCTAAGTGGTTCAACAGGGAAGGTGGAGCTCGTGAGTTTCCTCAGCTGAAGTTCTAACTTGAACGAGACTTCAAGTTTCTAAAGGGGGGATCCATGATACGTGTGTATTTTTTTTTTCGGAACTTAGCGATCCTCATGGGAGCTTGAGGATAGATGATTCTCATGGTAGCTTGAGAATAGAGGTGTAAAACAGCACAGTGGAATGCATGTTGAAGCGTGGAACGAGACGGTGAATCGAAGAATCGAAGCATCTAGTTTTTAGCCCGTGAGTCGACTCATAACAGTCATGAGTCGACTCATCAGGTTGAGTCGACTCATGCTTGTCATAAGTCGACTCATGAAACTCAGCTGTTTTGTCAAAAGTCTCTGACCAGTCGACTCATCACTGTATGAGTCGACCCATGTGTCATGAGTCGACCCAGTCGACTCATCACTGTATGAGTCGACCCATGTGTCATGAGTCGACTCATGACTGTCATGAGTCGACCCATATGACATGAGTCGACCCATATGACATGAGTCGACCCATATGACATGAGTCGACTCATACATGCACGTGAGTCGACTTATCGATAGTTTCCTGGTTCGTTTGGGTTTCAGTCTGCACGAATTTCTGTGGGGTTTGGGCTCGGTTATTTATGACTTTGCCATCAACGTTGTTCCACATATAAAAGGGATTGTTTTAGGTTTTAAAACAATCAGGAGAGATTAGATTGTATTGGGAGAATTGAGAGGGATTGTTCTTCAATTCTAGTAAGATTGTGAGAGATTGTAAGTTATTTTATTCTCATAATCTAGAGAAGGTATTTTTCTTCACCACCACTGAATTGTTCTTGTGTTCTTGTTATTTTCTTCTTAACCCACCTTTGATAATTCCCCGATCAAAGGTGCTCGCATGGCGACTCGTATCAGTGTTTCATGCCCAATGCATATCAGGTGTTTGCTTATCTGATTTCTTCATTCGAGCTAATTGTTGACGTGTCCATATGCTCCCTCAATTCCAGTGATGCTGGAACTCGCTAGAATTGTCTAGCAACCATCATCAAGGTTAGGTTATCGGATCACCATTAGGGACAGTCAAAGACTACTGTGCATGTCATTCTGTCATTGTGAAATGTGAACAAATGGAGAGCAACCATTTTCTAACCGTTGATCCATGAACTGAACTTCTTCACTATCATATGAAGTTGGGCAGTCTTGTTTCAGGTGTTTCTTTTTCAGGAAAATTTGGAAATCTTGTGAGTGAATTTTTTTTAATAAATATATGATTATGTTTTGGGAGGTCCTGGGAGAGGGTTTAAGCAAAGGCGAAACTTGCAAAGTCGCACCCTATACTCCATCTTTTCTATACAGTAATGTTATCTATTTGTTGTTGCCTGTGGATGTTAGCCTTTGTAGTGGTTGATTTGACCGCTTGTACCTCTGTGTTTTTTCTCTTGCCTGTCTTCTGTCTTTCTGGTTTTCCAATTACACAAATTGGAGTTTATTCTCAAGACATCAGACTTTAAAAAATGAAAAAAAAACAATGGGGGTCCTAGTACAGAAGTAGCACATCTCAGTTCTTACAAGTTCTGAAGAATGTAACAAATCTACAGATTATGCTCTTCCTATAAGTATTATGCTCTATGATCAAACAATAATTGTGTTCCTTTGTTTGAAATATTTGGGTACTTTTTTTTTCAGAAGTTTACCTCAGGACTACAGCGGTATATAACAGAGGGTGTCTGTCTCGATAATTTAACCCAAAATTGTTTCACATGTCTTCTTATATTTTTTTTCATTGTATTTTTTTAGCAGTGAATTTTGTTGCGCAGATATTTGCTGTTTTGACTAACGAGTTAGTTCTTTGTTGGAGTTCATTACTAGGAAGTTCTCAATTGCTATTATGCGTGTAGGCCCTCTTGTCATTTGTTTTTTATCCCCACCTCAGGCTACAGGTGTGCGTTCCATGGTCTTTCACCCTGATGGAAAAACTTTATTCTGTGGGTTAGATGAAGCATTAAAGGTAAATATTTTTCTGCATTTCATTTATCTGCTATGTTTTCAATAGGTATCATTTGTTAAACTTCATGATTTCCATTGTTAGGTTTTCTCCTGGGAACCCATAAGATCTCATGATTTTGTTGATATGGGCTGGTCCACGTTGGGGGATCTCAGTATATATGAAGGAAAACTTTTGGGTTGCTCCTATCATCAAAGTCGAATTGGAGTGTGGGTCGCTGATATATCGGTAAATACCTACCTCGAAGAAATATGTATAATCTAACTTTCTGTTCTTTTTTAAACTAAACAGCTCCCCCTTCTCAGCTTATTGGACCATATGCAGATGGCATCATACCCAAGAATAATGGGCTTATAGATCCTGTAAATATTTATGAGAAAGATCATCCTATTAAACTTGAAAGCTGTACAAATTCTAGTATGATATTGGTTCCAGGACCTCCTGATCATGGAGGCAAAACTAAAGAGACAATAAAATGTTCATTGAACTTATGTAAGTGAAGATCTACCTAATATCCATTTATTTATCAAGTTTTAAAGAGTGTGTTTATTTTCTGCAAAAAGATTCCTCTTATTGACTTCTCCCTCTTTTTGTGTTATGTTAAAAAGCTAATGTCTACAGCCAAGGAGTTCTGGAAAAGGAGCCTGTAAAGATTTATGAGAAAGATCATCCTATTAAACTAGAAAGCTGTACAAATTCTAGTATGATAGTGGTTCCAGGACCTCCTGATTGTGGAGGGAAAACTAACGATACAATGAAAGGTTCATTGAACTTATGTACGTGAAAATGTACCTTATATCCATTTATTTACCTAGTTTTAAAGAGTGCATTTATTTTCTGCAAGTAACTACTCGTATTGACTTCTTTCTCTTTTTGTGTTGTGTTTAAAGCTAACGTCTGCAGCCAAGGAGTTTCGGAAAAGGAAGCTATCTGTTCAACAAAAGCAACCCACTTACCTTCAACTGGATTTGGAAGGAATAATGTCTCTATGAGCTGTCATAATACTCCACAAAAGTTCAATTCAAAAATTTCTTCAAAAGTTCCGACCCTAAATTCCACTGCTTTCAGCATCAGTAAGACTACAGAAGTTCCTCCTGTTACACCGAACAAGATGGAATCCAGTTTAGCATCTAGGGAAAAGCGGTTGGTTTCAAGTGCATCCAGAGTAAATAGTCGACGATCTCTAAAGAAGGGCACTGTGGTGGAGTTGGATGTTGTAAGTAATACCAAAGCAACTGGTACATCTGTTTCGTTACCTGTTTTTGTACCAAGAGATCACCAAGATTCAGAAAGTGTTGATTGCTCAAGAAAAGTTACCAATGCTACTGAAGTAAAAGTTCATAGTACCACATCTGGCAAGGTACATCTCATGCGGCAGCCATCATTTTGTGGTGATAGAAGCGATGGTCAACATTTCATGACTAGGTCCAGGCCTTCTAGTAGTTCAAGCACTGGCTCAGGAAGCGTGGACTCTAGTTCTGTCCTCAGGTTTGTGGTGAACGGTGGAACACTAAGCCCTGACAACTCGAACAGTACAGGGATAGGAAATGTTGCTAAGAAATTTGAAAGAATTACGTCACCGGAGCAGCCTGTACAATTGCACAAGAAAAAAGGTGAAATTTGATTTTGCATTGGTCATTATCATGAATGTTTATTTAATCTTTTGTCATTGTTACATGTACTTTTCACATTTTTGTCCAATTGCAGATTTTTTGCCTTATTTCTATGATAATGTAACTTCCCAACATATTGGCTTTTCTATTAGCCTTTCTGTTATGTGACCGGGACAGGAGTAAATAGGCCTAGGTCACCAAGCTATTATCATTGTTTAGTCAGGTTTTTTAGCAACTTATTGCGGCACCTCTTTGTCTATGTAGGAGACATTCTTTCGGTTTTTTTTTGGCCGGGGGGGG